TGGCATGCTGGCCGAGGCCGTGGCTTGCCATGCCGCCACGGCCGTGGCATGCTGGGCAACGGACCGGCATGGCATGCTGGCCGTGGCGGTGGCATGGCACGCTGGCCAAGGCAGTGGCAAGGCATGCGGGCCGAAAAATACCCTTAATGTGAATGTTCACACCGTCAATATAAATGTTTATATCGTCAATGTATAGGGGCCCGGCTCATGTCGATCCTCGTGGGTGCCCGAAAAAATTCGAGTCGGACCAGGCCGGCCCACAAGCCAAAAAAATAGGCCCAACCCGGCCCGTTGATAATATGAATATTCACATTGACAAGTTAACATTCACATTGATAGGAGTGTAAAATTGGCCTGCGGCCCGTGGGCAGCCCGAAATCAGCTCGTCGCCCAGGGCGGGCCCGGGCCGGCCCGTTCACAATATGAATATTCACATTGACATATTAACATTAACATTAACATTGACAAGAGTGTAAAATTGGCCCATGACCCGTAGGCAGCCCGAAGCCCGGCCCCGGGTCAGGGTGGGTCCGGCCCGACCCGTTGACAATGTGAATATATCACATTGACATGTTAACATTCATATTGATAGGAGTGTAAAATTAGCCTACGGCCTGTGGCCGGCCCGAAACCCTCCTGCGGCTCGTGGGCTGCCCTGGGCGGGCCCGGCCCGACCCGTTGATAATGTGAATATTCACATTGACATGTTAACATTTACATTGATAAGAGTATAAAATTAGCCCGCACCCCGTGGCTGCCCGAAACTAGCCCACAGCCTGTGAGCGGCCCGGGGCGGGCCCGACCCGGTCTGTTGACAATGTGAATATTCACATTGACATATTAGCATTCACATTGATAAGAGTGTAAAATTGACTCGCGTCCCATGGGCAGCCCGGGGCGAGCCTGGTCCGGCCCGTTGACAATGTGAATATTCATATTGACATATTAACATTCACATTGATAGGAGTATAAAATTGGCCCGTGGCCCGTGGGCGGCCTGAAGCCCGCCCGCTGACTAGGACGGGCCCGGCCCGGCTCGTTGACAATGTGAATATTCATATTGACATATTAACATTAACATTGATAAGAGTGTAAAATTAGCCCGTGACTCGTGGGCAGCCCGAAGCCCGGCCCCGGGCTGAAGCGGGCCCGGCCCGTTGACAACGTGAATATTCACATTGACATGTTAACATTCACATTGATAAGAGTGTAAAATTG